CCCCAAAACCCCAAAACCCCAAAACCCCAAAGATAGAAATTTTTACCATTAAAATTGTTATTAATTAAGGTTAATTAAGTGAAATAAATAGATTGTTTGGGTCTTTAGTTTTGTCACTGATTACTACTATTTGGGAATGGATTTTATTGCTGTGTCTGATTCAATTAAGGATATATTTATTACTAAGGTTATTATTGCATCCACATTTGATTTGGGAAAATTTACATTTATTGAGGAACCTAGTTTTAGGAAAAGAATAAAGGGTTTTGCATATAGGCCATTTATTATTGCTGATACATGTTGTATTGTTGCTATTACATCATTGGATGCATATTTTAAAAGTATGGCCCTTATCCATATTGCTATCCCATTTAATTCATCTGTTACTGCTATTGGTGCATTTGATACTGCTGTTAGTTTTAGTTCACTGAGAAATTAGTAGAGTAAACTGGAATCTATGATCCATTTTTTTAGTAGCCACTGTTCCCTTATTCCTAAAATCTCTTTTTGAATTTATCATTGTTTTTATTTTTGTAGTGAGAATTCTGATTACTTTTTTCCCTTACAACTTAGTCCTCTAATTCGCCTTCTTCCATATCTCTATCTTCATTTCTGTTCTTTCTTTTCTTATTTTTCTTAGCTTTTTTAGCCTCTCTTTCTTTCTCATCATCAGAGAAGTCTCTTTCATGCTCTGGAAGCTCCTCATCAAACAAGTTGCTTGCATCGCACCCCTTTTTATTCATTAATATTGGCAACTAAGTATTGATAACTTTCAGACATTTAACTACTAAATATACCTTTTAGTCAAGAATTTAATTTTTTATTTCCAGTCCCTGCTATGTGCATTTATCTGTGAATGAGGGGTAAAGTCTCACTGAGTATTAAGCTTGATTTACTTGTCCTACTAAATCAAGAACAAAACCCACTACCTATTTAGATTGGAAGCAAACAATATTATCTAAATCATAAATCTACTATGAATCTGAGGGTGTTACCAGGACTATATAGGAATTGCCATCTTGAATATACTTATTGATTTTCCCAAATTCAATTATATCATCAAGTTCATCTAGCTCAGGTATTTTGGGAGCGTATTTTTCAATCTACTCTAGATCTATTTCATTTTGCGTTTTGAACTTAGCGTATGAAGATAAAGTGTTTTCCTCAAATTCATCAAGTACCTCCATTCCATTATTGTCATTCCCTAACATTGAAATTTTCTCATCTTTACGCTCCTCATCATTATCTGATGAATATGATGAAGTTCCAGAAGTATAATTTCCATTATCAGACTGATCTCCATCATCATTAATGTCTTCATCCATAATTGGTTGGTTCTAGGTCTTCTACTATTGTTCCTGAATCAAGCCTGTAGGTTAATTTTCAATTTAAGAAACAATTCCAGATTAACTAAAGGTTCCTTCCTAATTATTGAGAGTCTAGTGACTAGCTAATTGATCTACTTCCATTATTGAATATGTATTTAAGAAGAAATATTTGATTTATTGCTTAAATACTAATAATTAATTCTATTGGGGTTTTGGGGTTTTGGGGTTTTGGGGTTTTGGGGTTTTGGGG